GTTCGAGGTGAACCAAACAAACGATCCACTATCACAGTCGCGTCCACATTTAGTCCTCGTAAACAATCACAAATCTCAGGGGGGGGGGGGTGGTGGGGCGGGAGGAATACCAATTGTGTTGATCAGCTGATCTCATCGCGATATAGTGGACTGCATCCATATCCAGAGAGACAGAGAAAGAGAAGATGGGACTGAAACAGGAAACAGCGCATACGTACTCACCACTGTTTTTGCACAAAAAAAATGAGTAAAAACAGAACCACGCTATGCTATAAGAACCAAATAGGGCATTACAAAAGAACCGATGGTTGTACATATGCTGTTTAAGGCCTGTGAATGGGTAAGACCATCTTTGAAAAACGAAACGCACGCGTTTCTTGCTAGTTAGTGCTAAAATCGGAACCCAGAAGAATGCTCGCCTGAGCCGAATTAAGCCCCCACTGTTTCGTTAAACTGCCACGTTCAATCAGTGTGGATCTGAAGAAGCGGAACCAAATCCTAAAGCGTTCTGCTTAGGCCGACAGAAAAGGATTTTGATCAGAGTGAATTCACACTCTAGACTATTTGGAGATAACTTAATTTCTTGACCAAAGCGACGAAGTCATGAAAAGCACGTGGTTGTTGATTTATCCGACAACCCGATTCAGCTTACTGAGGGCGCCTTGTACGTTTAGCTCCTGCACAAGTACTCAGCGTGGGTTTTCACAGACTAGTCCTAACATTTTGCCCGGGCTGCGACCAGATGGTTGAAAAAATTATAGCTGAGTTGGCTGGTGGGTGGGTGGGTGGATGGGTAGGTGTTTGAATGTCGCCTCGGTCACATTCAAAGTGTGATTTTCTTTTTTTCACGTAGGGTGTGAAATTCGTGCACTTGCCAACCGTGCAGGGATTTAGTCATGCAGGGTGGTGCTCACCGAACAAGTTCAGTTCAGTCGAGTTTGAACAACAATTAACAACCATGCACTTTCTTGCGCTGGTTTTGGTTGCTGTCTTTTGGCTGCCCAGTTGGATGAACATTAAAAGGAAGACAGGAAGGTTGGAAGTGGAATCGAAGAGAAAATCGGGAATTTCAGTGGACTAATGTTGCAAAGACATCCAGAAGATGCACGAACGTCACTGCTTACGACACACAGTCGAAGCACTCGGTGTCTCTAATTATCGATTACAATCCTCCCAAGGTCCCCATCCATGGAGCCTAACGGAACCTATGTGACCCAGTCCCTTGGTGAGGGTTCACATACCCTCATGCCAGATCCTAGCCTCACCATCCATGGCTTTTTTCTACTCACTATCGGCCTCGGGGAGCATCGTTCGCCGTGGCAACCTATTTGGTGACACGCGTAACACACGCCCCAACCAAAGTGAACTATGGAGGTCGACAGCTTGCTTCAGTGGGTCCCCACAGTTACCTAAAACTCTGTGCCTAACCTCAGTATCGCGTGTCCGGCTGCCCCACCAGACTCGCGCAATGCGGCATAGACAGTGAAAGTCTATTTTTATCCCGTTTTCCTTATGGCCGAAATATCATCTGTACATGAAACCGTTTGTGCGTTTTCCGCAGCACGCTGCAACACAGCGTGCACAGAATGAGATGACAGTCCGGCATTTCACTTCTCAGTCACATAAACACCGTTGGACTTGATAACACATTTTCCGTTGTATAACCTCTGCTGATGTGTTTGCTTTGAACGGCGGAAAAAAACAAAACAATGTTCCTCGATCTGCCCCTCCAGTACGCACAGGGCACAGTGATTGAGCGCAAAGATAGGTAACAGAAGCTTCTCTTCGATCATCGTGCGCGACAGAAGGTGGATGTATGGAAATGTTTATGATGACCGACACAACGAGTACTGGACACAGCTGTTTCGTCCTGTTTGGGACTCGTCAGCAGTGCGCTTACGCCTTTGTGTTCCCATCAGCAATCGAACCGCGAACCATCAAATTGGGACTTCAAACCCTTACCACTAAGCTAAGTTTGTGGTGGTTGTGAGAAAAATCGTACGAGCTAATCCAATTAATCACCGACTAAATGAATACATTGACCTTTCCGCGATGTTAGCCCCACCCCCACCCCGGTATTGTTGTCGTGGCTGTTGTTGTTTCCTATTTCTGAACTGAATCCCGTGTTTTGGTAGGCATCATGGAACTTGACAATTAGTTCATTTCGCTTCATAAATCAAGCACCGAATAGCACTCACATCTCTTGTGTACAGCCATCATCATCGTACAGCGAAAAACAGTGAGGCAAAGTTCACTCATCGCTGCCAAACTTGCAATGTATACAAGGTTAGTGGTAACAATTTAAGATGGACAGGGATTGGACCAACTTTGAGGGATAACACACACAGAGTACGCAATCGAACTGTGCATACATACCGTTCCAAGCATTCTGGCCTGATAAGAAATGACAACAAGAACGCCACTGCTATCGGTTCACTGCCATATCCTTCAATTTCTCTAACCAACCACTTGTGGAGTCTTCAGAACCCCAACCCGGAAAGCGTGAGACACCTACTCTACCCAATGGCTCTGTGCATTTCTTCATACCTCGTCTCCACGTCATCTGTTGACCTCCACGTGGTTTCCTCCAGCCCGGGTTAGCTACAGCGAATAAAGCGCGGTGCGGCAGACGACAGCTGGGCATAAACAATACGTACCCTAGGCAGCGAGGCCAACCAGTATGAATTCGATGTGCTAGAAGATTTATCCCTGATAGACTTCCAGACACACGACGGCTTACCTACATATTACTAACCCGTTCGCTCCATCCAACCTGGGCTAAACTGCGTAAACAGCGATAGTCGAATGGATATCTTCTACTCGTAAATTCAAGGTTTCACAACCATAAAGCAGAACTGAACGAACACTAACGTGATATACACGGCTTTTCAACTTCAGTGAAAAGTTGCGTGTACGCCAAAGATATTTCAGCCCTGCGTGTGCTGCTCGAGCCTTGAAAGTGCTGGCGGTTATCTCTTTTGCTGCGTTACCGTCATTGGTCACGCAACTACCTATGTAGGGAAAGTAATCCACCATAAATAAATCCTAACCATTTAGTTTCAGAGCGGGAGTAGACGAAACCCAGTCCTGCAGCATCATTTGCACTTTGATGGAGCACATACCGAATGAGGCAACACCATTTGTTGGTCCATCAAGTGCACATTGCGCATCCTCCATACATTCAAACAGACGGACGATGTCATCGGTGCACTCCAAATCGCATAGTTTTTCTCCAGCTGCCCGCTCAGTGCCTATGTTTTGGAGTCCCACTTAGTGCGTTCTCCAGTATTTCGTCTCCGACCAAATGGAACAGGAAGGGCAAAAGAAGTCACCCTTGACGAATGCAAGGATATCAGTTTGAATGAATAATTTTGTTTGCGAATTCGTCAGTTTGGTCATAACCGGTTTAGCAAACAACAGGCCGACCCGTGATTCAAGTTCCATAAAGGAATGACGTGTGTTTGTCCCTGACATTTGGATAAAATTGTGACCGACGAGGATCAACTCGGTTCTCGAGCTAACACCGATTCTCTCTGACTGCATCCGTGACTATTGAAAGCTCGGGAAATCCCACTGATAACATGCTATAGTAGGGGTTGGAATGTGTGTGAGGGGGTGGGGGTGGGGGGCTGTTGGACAATTCGGACTCGTGGTAAACCGCGTCTCGCGAAAGCAGAACAGGATTGAATATTGTATTGCGGATTTGGCACAGTAAACTGCTACCTCGTGGACCAGGGTTTGACTGGCCTGATTGCGAATCCTTTGGAAACTGGTCACTCTGAGTTGCGCGTGTACACGAGGAGCTTCTTGTTCTATGAAGTTTTAACCAAGGCTATTTAATAATATGTACATATGTATATATAGGGTTATATAGGGTGTATAAAGAGTACTGGCAGTGAAGGCGATTCCAATTTTTCGAACTGACTGCGAACGAATTAAAATAATAATAATGATAATAATAATAATTCCGACCATTGGAATTTAAACAACTATGCAGATGCTTACTCGAAGCCGCGGCCCGTGTGAACCAGCCTCGTTCGCCGTGAACCCTGTTGGGTAGTTAGTTCGATGCATGGCATGCAACGCGCGACCGAGAACATCGGTGGCCTGTGCAGAATTGGACGCGGACGGGGCCGGTTCCACTTCAGTCGAATGATAGGGATCTGCACGCTCGGTATTATCGAGATGCGGTGGTAAAGCGGTGGTCATCGGTGTTCGATCAGACCGTTCCAGTGATCGTGGAAACAAGTCCGCATTGCGTTGGGGTACTTGTGGGGTACGATCTGTTGTACTAGTCTGGCGATATTGAGATCTGCGTGGATGGGGGGCGGTGAAAATAGTCAACTGTTGAAATTCATTCCCGGAACTGTTCACTAAGAGCTTTAGTTTGCTTACATAACAAACAAACTACAACATGTTTGTGGATATCCTAAGATAGTAAAATGATGAAAACGGCGTATTGCAGGTCCTTTACGAAATAATGTCCAAGATCGGCGATTGATTAATCGATTTACCGAATGCCTAGGAAATAATTCCATTTACATTTCGTTCAGTTGGAAATTGATCGCGTAATTAGCCGTCTCTTGATTGCCTATTGTCCCGGATTAAGGTAAGTGGATAAAAGAAGGCTACTTGTCCGTAAACGACCGACGACACAAGTAAATCCTTTCCCGTTAGAGAAAAGATTTTGCACTAGCGTTCCGCTAGTCTCCGGTTGAATCCAAGTTGCGTGTTACAGAAGAAAGAATAGTGGTTGAATAACTCCGACGAGTATCTCATTCATTCATTCAGTCAGTCAGTAGTAGATTTATGCACTCGAATGGGTGTATTTTCAGCAATTACATCATATTCGTGGATTCAAATTTACAAAATCATTACATAATGAAACTGAAAGCAATGAGGTGTTCGTCAATGAAGCAAGAGGTTGCGCAATTCTGTGGAAATTGTGTTCTTGTCTATAAGTAGACGTGCTAGATATGGCAGAACAGAATTGCGATAAGCACAGGTATGTGCAAATAAAAGTTTAAATCTTGAGCGTGTGGATGATGTAGATACAGCTTTTGAAAATTCATTGAGTAATGGGTGGTGAGTGTCTGAGAGTATTTTGGCGGTGAAATTTTCACATGCTTGTGGGTGTCTGTCAATGATAGAATCGGCCAGTTTATCTCTGACAATGCCACTACAGAGATCTTCAGATCTTCAGAGATCTCTGACGGTCATTCTAGCCTCATCAATTATCCGCCATGGGTTACCAGGAAATTTAATTACCATGGACAGCAGATTACAAGTAGTTTAACGTGTATTTATTTATTTTTGTTCCACAAACGACAAGAAATTAAAAATTTGAGTTTGAAAACCCAGATATCTTTTAAAAAAAAGAAACATTCATCACGGATTATGATTCACAAATAGATACATGGCATGGCATAGGCCTGGTGCCGGACAGAATGTAGAGTGGCACAAAGAGTGCCTGACGGAGAAAAAACAGTCAGAAATTGGGTTTATTCCAGAGAAGGGGTCTAGCAACAATTTACAGTGACTGTGGAATAAAATTCATAATTTTTAAGGAGCACGGAAACATATTCATCTCGTCGCATTTAACTTACAGTTAATTACTTTTGAGTAGTGGTATGGGATAATAGATATTGACTGATTTGAACTGACTATCCTTCGGACTTCAACTTCACGCGCAATCCTCAGTTCATCCTGTCAACCATACACTAGGAATACTATAGACTCGAGTTTCGTTCTTTTTAGAGCTCATCAGAAGCGCATATTGTCCTTCCCGTTCAAGATTTGATGTCGGGCCAAATGAACTGACTATCACTAAACAAACATGAACGAACATGAATGGGCAATTTCGTTCATCCACGGTATGAGCTGGTTGGCACAGTGGTAACACACACGCCTTCCATGTGTTAGGTCCGGAGTTCAAATCCCGCACTGTGGGTCGGTGGATATGCACTACTGATGAGCTATAATAATTGCAGAACTCGAGTAGTCTAGTGCCTCCGAATGTATGGTTGACTGGATGGACTAAGGATTGTGCATGAAGGTGAAATCCGAAGGATAGTCAGTTTGAACCAATCAATGTTCCCGTCTGCCTGGGTCTTTGACTAATTCGACCACTGTCTAATAATCCTCAACTAGGAGAGGAACGAAGGATGTGCTTCGACTACACATGATGACAGATAGATTATATGAATTCGACATGTAAATGAGGCATAAGCTGAAAAGTTTGGAAGCACTGGACAGGTGTTTCGATTAAGTTGGGTTTCATCATCATCGATCAAATCCGGGACCTAACCCAGGACCTCATATAACAAGTGATCACATTGTGAAAGTTTTCAACCGACTCATACCCCCCCCCATCGTAGGCTAGTGATGAGATGAGACAGGCGTGATGCTCCCAACAACCTGTACGGTGTAAGTGGAAGATGAAAAACAGCTTGATCAGCTATCCGGTGGTCGAGTGGGAAACGTATCATTCAAAGTATCAGACTGACCACTTCGAAATCAGTTATTACCATACTCGGCTCTGGTTAGAGTCTCTCCCGGCTTTATCCAAGCAAAAAGTGTTCACATTGATTCAAAAATACCGCTGTATTCATTCCACCACGTTCATGTGGCACTCGCTCACTTGAATCGACCCGAAACTCTCCCAACAGCCTGCTCTCTTTCAATCACTTTACACTGGTTTAGCGTGAAGACACTTGATTCCTGTGAGCAAAGCAGTTTCAGGTGGTCTGGAGTGTTGAAGTTTTAGAGTGCAGAATATACCAATCATAACATGATCACACAGGCTTGGAGACAAACAAAAGCTGAGGTGCATTCATCTACTAGCCTCCATAGATCGCGTGTGTGTGACATGTTAAAAAGGGATAGACATTCAGTCAATGAAAGATGACGGAGATTAGTTGGTAGAAGGATGTGGGATGAATGATGTTATGTGTTTCATATCACTAGGTCAGCAGAATAAGTTGTGATTCGTCATACATGCGACCGATCGTCGGTCATGGCAAGTGAATGGCGTGGGTCCATCCCTTTTAAAGACGAATTCCGAATGCTTCTGCAGCGACTGAGGAATAATAATATCGCTTCCTATAACACCTTTTCTGTCCTGGTGAAGCTAGGGTCGTGGACAGTGTTCTTTAATCCACCTCTATATTTGAGCAGTATAGATTCCGTTACAAACACAGCTGAGGGAATAGATGACCATCGATGAGACTAGTGTAGGTAAACTGTCTTCGTTGAATGTTCTCATTACTGGTGAGTCTGTGAATACGTATGATAAATTGGCTAACTTAAAAGGTCCTGTCACAGCTTGCCTAATGAGCATAGGTTAGTCATCTGGTTCGAAGTACCGTTTATTAGACAGCCTCTTTTTTGGCGCTCCCTGAACGGGCTCTTATCCCCCAGGTCTTGACTCTGGTGTTTTATTAGATTGCTCTTTCAGGATATCCGTTTTCCGAGAGAATGATTCTAATCTGATCGAGGTCATCTACATTATCAAAAATTCGGAGCACACCATTCGTCTAAGCAGCATGCGTTCCTCCCCTTTCAAGTAATCAATCTGTCAATTGTGCTGGGAACTGTAAAGTCTAGGAATGTCAGTTTCTTTTTATCTTTCTCTGCTTCTACGGTGAAATTTATGTACCTCTGAGCCTTGGATTAGATAAATTAAATAAATTCGGAGAAGGACCAAGGTCGAGCCTGGTTGCAAAGGCATCTCCAGCATCCTTTGAAACGATGCACAATTTTCTAGCACAACCTGGGTGATCAACGCATAACTGTGTTGTTGCTTGCGGATTGACAAAACATTTACTCGTGCGAGGGTTTTTTGTCCCTTCCCTCCATTTCTGATGTTTTCTATCCGAGTGCGAACACGACAAAATACCAGATAACTTCTCTTGCTTTGTTTCTAAATTTCTCGTCAAATTTTGATCTTATTTCATTCCGGAGTGGTTCAACTATCACTTCTCTCAACCGTGGCGCAAAACGTGAATTCAGAAAAATGTCAATCAACCGCATCGTTTCATTCGCATTTCTGGGAAGTATAACAAGGTTCTGATTTGTCCTACTTGATTTGTACAACTTTCATGTCATTTTCTGCAAAACTGCCGCGTCCCTCCCCAATTCCAACCAATGTAAAAGATGCAGTTTTAATCAGTAACACCTCTCCTTTTGCTACGTGATTCATCTTGTTCGATCCTAATCCTAGCCCTGATGAACTGCACGAATAGAACGTTGCCTCTGATCTGCTCAAACTCAATTGTCATTCGTAACCGATGACTAACTCTATTTCATGCCATACAGTCAAAAAGCTTTCATTCATTTCATTCATCGATTCGCGGTTTTTTTATTACACACTTTCTTGTGAACAGCAGACGGGGTGAACCCCATATTCACGAGGACGTGCTATTTAGTGGTGGAAACCGTCAACCTAAGCCCCGAGGCATTAAGTGGCGAACCATATAAGGCCCCGATAGGTAAGTTGTGCTGTAGAACCGGACCACAGCAAAACTGTCTACCACCAAATTTGGGTAGCAGTGGCGGGGCTCGAACTTCGGACTGCGACCAAGGCAATCTGCTGACGGCGGCTAAACCACCGTTGGCTTATATATCCCTCAACGACTATTGTTATCCACACCGCCCATTCTCACTGAGTTGTCCCTAAGGAGATCAGGCTGGACAGGAATTGGGTTGCGAACTCACTGATCAAACCCGGCCAAAACACGTCAAGAAACTTCCCGAGGCATGGCACTCTTCAATTCGTTCGATAAACGCGCACCACTAACTACTTCACGGGAGCACGGGAGCAACACAAAACAAAGATCCAATGGCTCAATGAAAGATTAGGTCGTGACCCCAGGACGGACAATCCCCTCAACCCCTCATTCCCTTTCGACGGCGAATCAGGTTGAGCACAGTGAGAACAAGGGTGAAAAATAATTGATGAACAGTAGCACATATGGGATAGGTAGAGAGATACAGAAGACCGTGGTCGCAAGCAGTGAACGTGTCACATCAGCTGGTGACGATGAAACGAGTGAAAAAAATATTGCCACATTCTTAGGTGAACAGTCAGTCTACCTGTACTACGAGAACTGATATCCAGTGCTTTGCTATTTAGTTGATTTTAAGGGGATTTTCTAATAGTGAAAGATAATTTATGATATCAGTAATCATGCCTTCGATGCCGAATCCCATTGTCCAGAACCCGGCAAGTATTTGATATTCGTGTGGAATCTGTTTCACGCTACAGTTTTGAACCAAAGAATGTGTGGTGATCCTGCCCTACAAGATGACGCACAAGACGGAGCGACACGTTAGTTTTCGGACAACTGTGATCAATCAAGCTTCCCAGGTGACTTCAGCAGTACGGGTAAGTGTCACAGCTTCTGAACTACATGCCATAGGTCGATTGTGTCAGCCAATCAGAAACTGTGTGACCCAGACAGAGGCTGAACAACGCCAGAAATACTAGCACGCGATTGGACGAGATCTGGATGACCAAGGATCTTGTTTTGTACATACTATTTTATACCCCTTATTTCTTTCAGTAAAAGAACTATTTCTGTGGCATTTTCCTCTCGTCTGGTTTATGTGGGATACTGTTGTGCAAGACCAGTGTGGTCCAGGGCTTACGGCTC